ATTACTAATTTGATATAATGAATATTTATTTATTAAAATAGATTAAATATTATATTAATTGTAATATAGACTAATAGGAAAAAAATTTAAAATATAACTGCTAAAGCAACTTTATTATACTGTATAAGTACTATACGTACTGTATATACAGTACGTACTGTACGTACTGTACGCTAAAAAATTTTAGACATCATATAAATGGCATATCACTAATCATGATATAAAATGTTCACCAAAACTTTAGCGCTGAGAAAGTAGTTACTGCTAGGTTGGTACCAGTTTTTCGGCCTAAACCGAAACTTCCAGCTTCCGAAATTGGTAAAACCTCTGTAACTTCCGAAACAGGCGAAGCTAATAGCAATAAAATCACGAGAATCACCAGAACACGTGGAAAACCAAGCATAAAATTACATCGGAAACTGGCGAAACTTCTGAAATTGGATGAAACTAGCATAGAGATCTGAAATATTCCGAATAGAAACTCTTAGATCGTAAAATTTGAGCAAGGTTGAGAGCAAATTTCCAAAAGAAGTCGTAAATGTGAATTTCCGGAGATTTTGGAAGCTCGGTTTCGCCTAGTTTCGAAACACTGGTGGTTACTAGAGAATACGAAAATCTAACAAATACTGAAAAGAAAGATTTGGCTTGAGTTTTTGGGACTTGGCCTTGTGGAAGAGGATCCCATCAACTTACCGACAATCACTTCGTAGACACCACACTTCACTGACAATTACTTACCGACAAGTTCGTTTCACCGACAGTTTATTTCACCAAAGCTCATTTTACAGACAAAGTATTTCTGGTCAATATCATTAGTTAGATTAGAACTAGAGTTAAAGTTAGTGTAATTTATAAAAAAAAACTTGTCGGTGAAATGAACTTCGGTGAAATATACTATTGGTAAAATGAACTTGTCGATGAACAACTGTCTGTGAAATGTGGTGTCTATGAAGTGATTGTCGGTGAAACAATACGGACCCTTGTGGAAACAATACCTGGGCTCAGATAAGTCTTCTCTTACTTACCATATAAGCGCGTAATAACGCACTTGGGCGTTATTTCGAAATTTCAATTTTTTTAAAAATGGCATATTTGACTCAAAATAACGCTCATGCGCATCTCAAAATAACACATGTACCAGATTATTTTTCACGTGCTATTTTGAATATTCGAATAAATTTGAATATAATAAACTTAGATTCAACTTCTAAAACGATTACAATATGGGGGTGTCAGTAGAAACCAGGCAAATTGTTTCTAAGTAAATTTTTTTTAGACTTTAAATTAAAATATCTCAACAAATATTAAACCAAACTTGATAAAAATTTTTTTATTTTAATGCTATTTAGTTATATAATTAAAATAAAAAAAAAAATTATTAAGTTTAGTTTAATAGTTGTTGAGATATTTTAATTTAAAGTTTTAAAAAAACTTACTAAAAACAATTTGCCTGGTTTCTACGAACACCCCCATATATCTAGAATTTATTCGCCTTATCTCAAAAACTAAGTATCTTTTTCTAGTTCTATTATGATGTCTCGAGAAAGTTCTTAGTAGTTAAATTTCTTTTTCTAAAATTAGCATAATGATTTGAATTATCGCGCATGCGCATCCCGAAATAACGCGCTTATATGGTACTTATTTTATATCTCTTATATATAATATATCAATTTGATACTAATAACTCTATTATATCTTCTATTTTAGATATATTGCTGGATCACTCCAATTTACCTTATCTAAAGATGACTACCAAGCACTACATTAATCAATTTCTCGAACTATACTTGGCAATTTAATTTGAATCAACAACTTGTGACTTTTAACTTCACTACACGAGTATACACGAAGTTGTTAATTATCTTTTTTTTAAAAAAAAAATTATGCACCGAAGTTACAGACATTAATTGTCTAGAATATTGCATTCTTTGATTATGTAATTGACTTTTATTGTCGTATCAAAAAGTAATTTTGGAACTTTTAAACACATATTTGTATTTAAATGTAACAAGAACTAAGCAAAATGTCCAGTTTATTATTTTACTAATAAACTTATTCCTAGTCCTGCTGCATTTCACCCCAAATTTTGTTAATAAAATTACATACTAAAATTTATTGCTGCGGATTGACATGGGATTGCCCAACTGGAGGCAATCACAAGACTTTTATTTGCAGCATAAAACATTAAATATAGGTCGATCAAGAAATTAGGCCGGAATTACACAAAATTTTACTAATGAAATCGCAACCGCCCATTAAGTGAAAATTGTTCCTGGGCCAATTTTACCATAATACGGGCTTATTTTTTAAAATTTCTATTTTTGTAATGAAGTTAATTCCTGCCAAAAATTAGTAAACAATTATGTAATGTGGGCCCAAAATTTTGAAGATCCTCGGCCATTAGCAAAATCGAGGATCTGCCGCACAGTTTTTGTGCGGCACCTAGGTTCAATTATGAAAACTGACACGAGGCTGGTCCATATATAATACATCCTCACCCTAATAATTCTGTCTCTAAAACCTCAAACCTCATTCTCATTCTCATCTAACCCTTAAATGCAACCAAATCTTAGAAGACTCCTAAAAAAAAAAAAAAAAGTAAAATTTTAAAAAAAAACGGGGTTTAAAAAAGAGAGAAAAAAATAATAAAAATTAGCTTAGGAAAAAAAGAAAAAAAAAAGACTTACTGCTATTATCATAACTTCTGAAACACCTGATAAAAAATTTGCCAGATGATTTTCAGCCAATCCGGTTAAGTTATTGATTCGGCATGATCCGTATAATAAAAATACCGTAAAACTCACCATTTTTTTAATTAATAGAGGTGTTTATTCACTAGTTATTTGAAACAGATAACATGATTGATCAATCTTGTGATCACCGGATAACGCAATTTTAAAGTTTATTTGACGGTGCTTATTTATGGAACATAAATTTTTATTATGAGGGTGCTTATTTTTCAAGTTTTACGGTAAGCTATTTTTGTATCATATAATAATCATTTCATAACAATGTCAACAATTTTAAATTTTCGTTCGAATGCTTGTCCAAAAATGTTTGGTGTGCTTTAGTTTGTACGAAAATTTATGGGAAAAACTGTTCATGTCAACCAATAAACAAACCTTAACAAGAAGGAATCGAATATAAATTAGACTTTTACACAGTAACAAATATATTACTCAAACAGGTTCTGCTATTAAAAGGTTAAATATGATAAAAATGAATCTCAGGTTAGGATTCCAAATGACCAAGGTATTATTAATATTTGTCGAGAATGCATGAAGAATTATGATAAACGAAATCCAAGTAAAAATTTTATAGGTTTATATTTTTCGTCTTCGACAAGAAACAAAAAATAATTAGAAATAAGTAAATGCTTTCGCTTGAACGAAAATGTATCTTGCCAAAGAATAGGAATCGAAATTTAGTTTAATTTTTAAAAACAAATTATTCGTCTTCGAAAAGAAACGAAAATAATTATAAATGAATAAAGGTCTTGTTCGAACGAAAACGGATCTTGCCAAAGAATTGGAATTGAAATTTTACAAAATTTTTTTAAACCGAATTTTTGTCGAAAAATAATTAGAAATGGATAAAGGCTTCGTTTAAAAAATAGGATTGAATTTTATGACTTACAAGTACGACAAGTATGCATAGTCTTATTGTAATATATATTAGTCACCTGATCTTATTAAATTACGTATTTGATATGTCTCCCGAAATATATCATCCGGCAAATTTTTTATCAGGTGTTTCAGAAGTTATGATAATAGCAGTAAAAAAAAAAAAAGCCCAATTCTCAATTCATCCCAATTCATTACGGATTCCAATTCATTATGGATTCCAATTCATTATGGATGGCAAAGATATTTGAGTAAAATATTATAATTACTTACAATTCGTTTAAAAAAAATATGTTCATCTAGACTAAATCATTAAAAATTCAAAAATATTAACTATTTAACCTATTTAATCCTTCGCCTTCGGATCTTTCTTCTAGCCTTTCTAAAATTATGGCTCAAAGAACCAAAAACAAAAGTCTAACATCATCCTCAAGTTTTTTATCCGCAATGTCTTTATCACTAAGGTGCAAAATATAGGGTACATGAATTGCACCTATCTGATTTTCTGTTGTCACTACAGTGAAAAACCACTTTTCACCGGTAGTGACAACACCATGTACGTACCCAACGCTCCTTCGTTTCCCATTTGTATTTATATTTCTATTAGTCTATATAATATAAATTGTAATAACATATAAATATATTCTTTTTTAAAAAAAGTTTTATATAATCTTATATAATATATCTTACCGTGCATGCGCATTTTAATTGAACAAGGTTCTGTGTGAACCCATGTTCGATGTCTGAACTCTTTGCTTCTACTACACAAAGAATTTCCTTGTTGATTCGTTGGGACAATTATCAATTGTCCCGTATACTCTCATGGATTTCTTTTGAAAAAAAAAGGTCAAATTAGTATTTTATTATTTTATTTTTATTATATATATATAATAAGACGATTGCTATTTGTACACCATGTGTATGTATACACATATATTGATATCTCAAAATCCTAATTATATAATAGCTTTTGGGGTTCTAACAAAAAATATTCCTTACAAAATTTTAGTATAAACTATAACCTCATCTAACCCTAAAGCTACCCTCACCCTAACCTTAAGCTATACTAATTTTTCGTTTATAATTTATATGTTAAACAAATTTGTAAATCAAAAATTAGTATGTGTGTATATACACCTGGTGTAAATTAAGAAATTTTCATATAATATATATGGTACCTTTAATAGTTTTACTGTATCCGTTATATCTTTGAAATTTTCAGGGTTTTCTTTGATTCTATAAATATTATTTAAAGCTGCGAAAAACTTTGGTAGGATGAAAAAGGCTATAAGTTATTGATTTATATAAGAAAGACAATTCGCATTAGCTAGGATTTATGTACCTTATTTTTTGAGAAGCTTGCAAGTGCCTTTAATTTTTACATGACACAGTCTTGCAGGTTTTGTCAGTTTCAAGGTTGTTGGCTTCGGTGGTTGGGGTTTCTTAATTATTTAATAATGTTATGTAATGTTATGAAAGAATTTTGATAAAAATTAAGATACTGTACGTAAATACGCGCGTATTTATTTTATTTCGTCTGCAGATCCATGTAAACAAAAATGATCTTGATTACTGGATTAGTCGATCCCATAACGCGCAATAGTCTAATAGATATACCATATTATACCACTTGTATAATACCAGTACAAGTTAGCAAATTAAATTGTTTTATCTGTACACATGATAAGATTACAAAAATTTTCCGAAGGCTACTAGGAGTATAACTATGTTATATGGAGCACCGATCATTAATAATAGGTAATTTTTCAATCCATAGAATTATTAAAGTTTAAAAAATCTGCCATTATCAAAACATGCCACGGTTAATTTTTTTAAACTTCGAGTAATTTTGTCCCTCATCGAAGTGTTTTTACAAAAAGGAAAAACAAAAGAAAACAAAGAAAACTAGTTATGGGTTACGTGCTATACCAACTAACAGTACAGAATTCGAGAGTATCAAATGGACTATCTAAGTGTAAATTAATAAGCTTATTACGTAATAAACATTTTTTTATTAGTAAGAGACATTAAATGAATTTTTCATTTTAATCAACAAACTTTTTTAACAGACCACCTTTTTTATATCTGCCTTTGAAAATTTTACGATCAATAGAGTATTCAAAGAGATTGCTCAAGCTGGTTTGCCATGGACCATCGACTGCAACGAATTATTATTTTACTTTTTGCATTAAAAGTTTTTATGAAAAATAAAAAAAATTAAGAAGCCCAAGAAACAATATCAAATACTTACTATCTCTTGGCTTTCACTCAAATAACAACAAATTCAACTACTCCGTCATTATAGTTGGTGAAATCAGTGAATGGAGTACTAGAAACTACCGAGGTTGTGCTTC